TCACACTAGAATGCCGTGCTTATGTAAACTGCCTTTTGAATGACTACAATTCTCATGGATTCTAGAAATGCACTTCTGGGTACAGAAACTATTTTCATCTGTTGCTGTTTAAATACTGAACTCCTGACTTTGGCAAAATAGCCATTGTTTTCAATGGGGGTTTTGTCTGAGTAGAGGGTTGAGGCATGGCTCTAGTATAGGTGTGTGTGGACTGGAGAGAAATCCACCTTGTTTACCAAGACAATATTACTATCCTAGGCCCCAGTCCTGCAAACACTGAAACCTTGCAATCAAAGGGACGGTTCATCTGAACCACATTATCCATATGTATGTTTGCAGGATCAACGTGTGTCACTGTTATAAAGTATGCTAGAACTCAGATTTGACTTTCACAATAGGCTGACGATAAAGTAAGTATAATTAATTCTTAGTAAAATGGACCAACCTTTGCTTCTTTACTCTGGACGTACAAAATGGGAGCTAACATTCAATGCAGGTTATTCTTAGCACCTGGAATAGGAACCTTTCGCTTACAGTTTGGAGTGCTGTCTCTTGGCAGAGAGAGATGATGATGAAGTCTAAGGTTTTGTCTACTCGGGAACTTTGTCGGCAAAACTTGTTGTTCAGGGGTGTTAAAAACCACTCCTCCCCCTCCCCCCAGATGACAAAAGTTTTACCGACGAACAGCGCTGATGCGAACCGCGCTTCGTCAGCGGGAGAGCTCTCTCCTGCCAACAAACAGCAGCTACACTGCGCGCCTTTTAGCGGCACGGCTGTAGCAGCACAGCTGTGTCGCTAAAAGGTGCGTAGCGTAGACAAAGCCTGAGTGTAAAAGAGAACAGACGGGTGTTTAGCTAAGGGTTTTGAATTCACAAGATCACTGTGCAGAGTCTTCCTTATTCAAAGTATAACATGATGTGTTAGGTGTTGGGGCAGGGGTGGTCAAACTTTTTGGCCTGAGGGCCACATCGGGGTTCCGAAACTATGGCGAGCCAGGTAGGGAAGGCTGTGCATCCCCAAACAGCCTGGCCCCTGCCCCCATCCTCCCTCTCCCATTTCCTGCCCCCTGACTGCCTCCCTCAGAACTCCCGAGCCATCCAACCCCCCTTGCTCCTTCGCCCCTGACCGCCCCTTCCTGGGACCCCGTCCCCTATCCAACCTCCCCTGCTCCCTGGCCCCTGACTGCCCCAACCCCTGTCCACACCCCCGCCCCCCTGAGAGGCCCCCTGGGACTCCCACGCCTATCCAACCGCCCCTGCTCCCTGTTCCCTGACTGCCCCCCGGGATCCCCTGTCCCTTATTTAGCCCCCCCCTCCCCCCTTTACCATGCCTCTCAGAGCACCAGGACTGGCAGCCGCACCACCCAGCCGGAGCCAGACATGCTGTCGAGAGCACCGGGGCAGGCCAGCAGCTCTCACAGCCGCGCTGCCTGGCAGGAGCTTGCAGCCCTGCCACCCAGAGTGCTGAGGCTGCAGGGGAGGGGGGACAGCAGGGGAGGGGCCGGGGGCTAGCCTTCCCAGCCGGGAGCTCAAGGGCCGGGCAGGAGGGTCCCAGTGGGCCAGATGTGGCCTGCGGGCTGCAATTTATCCACCTCTGTGTGTGGGGGGGGAAGAAAATAAAGCCGCCACAAAAGTTAAGCTTCTAAGTAAACTGCTGAAAATTGGAATGAATAAAAGCAGAACGTTCTGTTCTTGTATGTTGTGGATCCAAAAGAGGAGAGACCTGAAGCAGCATTGTTTGCAAATGTAGCAGAAGTGGCACATCCTCTTCAGTCTGATAAGAGAGAGCCAGTGAGAAATTAGAAATAGGCATGAATAGTATGAAATACCTTGTGCTTCCAGGAAAATGTTACCCATGAGAAATGTACATTTCCCAGGAAGAAGGTCACATAGATCAGCATGTGACAGACTAGAAACTGGCTTTGAAATGGGTGGAATACGGAGATCATTGAGGCTTATTAATAAATAACAAAATCATGCTGTGTTTCCAACAATTAAAAAATAAACAGTTCCAACTTATCTTCTGCACAATAATTTTCAGGAGCCAAATTTAGGCTTTGATGGAGCAACTCTAAATGGGCTGAATAAACAAGGCATGACAAAGTGATTGATTCCTTCAGCTGACTGGTTAAAGGGTTTTACATCCCAAGGTCCCCTGACTTGGAAATCCTGTCGTGGTGTCTGTTGCATATCATTGCAGTATAAAATTAGCCTGAGCCACATACGAAATATAATACATGGCAACAAGCATAGCCACCATGATTTTTTTTTAAATGTAGTTGTGCATCCAAAAATTATTTTTTAAGGTGCACGTTAGTAGAGGTGGGCAAGTTTTACTTTACTGTGTGCTATGGGTGTCGAAAGCACACTTGTGTTCATAGATTTTTAAAGTTAAAAAAAAAAAAAGAAGTATTTGGTCATCTAATCCAGGGGACGGCAACCTTTCAAAGAAGAGGAGCCATTTTTTTGGTTTTGTCTTTGACCAAAATATTTCGAGAGCCGCATCACATGCAAAGCTACTTGTAGAGTTAGAATTTACCAACTAATAATTGAACATATTAAAGTTATTACTCTCACTAATACTTTTAATGTGACTTCTGCTGTTTGAATTTGAATATAAACAGGAGGGGGCTGTGAGCTGGGGCAGGTGATTGGGTTGCAGGAGGGGTTGTGGGGTCTGGAAGGGAGTTTGGGTGCAGGACGGGGTTCTGACCTTTGGAGTGCGGGAGGGGGTGCGAGCTGCAGGCTCTGGCTGGGAGGCGCTTCCCATAGGTGGCTCCCAGCCGGCAGCGCAGCAGGGCTCAGCAGGCTGCGTGCCTGCCCTGGCCCCACGCCACTCCCAGAAGAGGCTGCTGACATGTCTCTGCGTGCCCCTGGCGGGAGGGGGTGCGGGGGAGGCGGCTCCACGCACTGCCCCCACCCCCAGCACCATCTTCACAGCTCCCACTGGCCCATTGGTAGTGGAATCTAACTATTGGAATAAAACACCAAGGGAAGTGTTAATCACCCTCAGTGTTAAAAATAAGTGTTTTAAATGACTGTGTATCCTAATACACTATGCAATGAACAGGCTTTGGCAGGTACTGTGGGAGCATGGAAGAAGAACAGATACTCAAGGTCAATGTTCCCTCTAATTTTTGACAGGCTGTGTGCGCAATATATTTCTTCTGTGCACATTTTGGTGCGTGCAGTGTTTCGCTGTATGCGCAGGGTTTAGGATCTGTGTGCGTGCGCAAATGCACACAGCTTAGAGGAAACAGTGCTCAAGGTGTGTAGAGCTGGTTTGAAAGCAATACTTTTGTCCCAAAGGAAAGTCTCATATTTTTAAATTTGTCTAAATCCCAAATTGGGACAACATTTCAAAATTTTTCACAGAATAGAAAGGTCAGAATCATTTTGGTTCAGAAATGTCGAGAAATTCTGCATCCAACTGTAAAGAAACATTTCAACATTCCCAAATCATAGAGTTTCATTCCAGGTTGTTCAATGGAATCAACACAGTTAATTTTGGTTTGGTTCGCCATTAATCTGTGTCTCTTTGAGCCTCCTGCAGTGCCTCATGGAAGATATAGTTCTGAAATCTCATGCCCCCATTCTCCTTTGGCTGGACTACATTTCCCCTGGTGCACACTCAACATGTGACTCATACAACATACTCCATTGTCAGTTTAACCAGAGAGATAACTATGGTGTATCATAGGAAATGCTGTCCATCCAAGGAGACAGAGAAGAATAGGGGAATGAGACACTTAAACTTTACAACTGCCACGAAGCTTTAATGTCAAAGTGATCCAAATGTAACATTTTGATTTGGTTTGACAAATCAAGATGTTTCATTTCAGTTTTCCTGATGGAAAATGGAAACATTTTTGCAAAATAGTGATTTTGGAGAAACTGTATTTGTCATTAAAACAAAACAAATAAACAAACCAAAACATTTCAGTGGAAAATTCCCAACCAGTGCTAGCGTTCAGCCTGTATGAATCAGAGTATCACCATCTGGCATGCCATTAGAAAAGTGCAACAACATGTATTTCCCTGATGTTACTGTTTGATACTTACAAGACAGACAACATGGTAACATATTGTATTTGGGAATTCATGGGAACATGTTGTGAAACTTCAATAGCTTTGCAGAACTGAGGTGGAGAGGAAGATGTTTTCAGTCTGAAAATAAAGAACAAACCTAAAACAGGTACTGTAGCTCTTGAAATAAAAAAAAAAATAGACAAAGCACTGTAAAAGAAAGATTCCAGTCCTGCAAGACATTGAGCATCTCCTGCAAGGCATTGAACATCCTCAGTTTCTACTGAAATCAATGGGAACGGAGGGCACTTAACACCCAAAGAAACAAAAATGATTCTGGTGTAGTGGTAAAAGTTACTGTTTAGAAGTGTCACCATTTTATTCATATCTAATCGAGATGGTCAAAAAAGTGGGGTTTATTGTTGGAACATTTTGATTTTTTCCAGAAGGAATTCAAATACTGAAAACTTGGGCCAAAACCCAAAGTTTTTTGATTTGGAAATACTGCCACGGGGACTCTTTGGAATGGTCATTCAGGTGCTTCATGCCCCCATTCTCTTCTGTGAGCCAGGCTTCCTGGTCAGACTACATCTTCCATGGTGCACCACAGTCTCTCCTCTTGAAGATGCAAGGCAGTGCATCATGGGAGATCCTGTCCATTGTGCCTCATGGGAGATGTAGCCCTGCCCCTAGAGTAGAACGGGACATGAGGCAATTGAACTGTAGCTCCCATGGGGCACCACAGTGGCATTTCCAAATCTAAACTTTCTGGGTTTTGACTGAAATATTTTGGTATTTAGAATTTCATTTTTTCCAATGAAAAATCAAAATTGTTTGCAGAAGAGACACTTTTTGTGAAAAAAATTATTCAATCCAGTTAATTCAATCAATTAATCCAATTTTCTGTCAAAAAAAGTTTCATTGGGGAATGTTCAACTAGCCTTAGTAACTACTATTTGTATCTCTCATCTGCAGACTTTACTGACAAGAAAAAGTCTACACTACCCTTAAAGCTGCAGAGCCAATATAGCTATGGACGATGATGCTGCATTATATTATAACGTATGTAGAACACACAAAATTGTTGTCTGCATTTCTAGTTTGTTATTTTACTGATGGCAGAATTTTTATTACTGGCAGTGATTTCAGAGGCAGGTAGAGCATAGCCTGATTTGCAGATCTCAGACTGAGTTTGCAATGATGAGAAAAATCTTATTTTGACATGTAAGCTAAAGAAGTTTGATATGGAACTCGTTGAAGCCTGATCCAAAACCCATTGACCTTTATGGAAAGACTCATTGATTTCAGTAAGCTTGAGGTCAGGCCCTGGGGGATGGTATGAAACACCACAATGCTACTTTAACAGATTCACTTTTTAGAATACAACATAATTTAACAGATTAAACTGCACAACAAAGGTGGTCCTATTTTTAGACAGCAGTATAGACTCTACAGGGACTTTTGGAAGAACTTTGTGCAAAGAAAATGAGACAGAACAAATGGAAAGTGTTTACTACAGAAGGTGGCAGGCAATCTCAATAATTTTTTTATTGGCATGCTAACTAATGAGCCTTCTAAAGAAAGAATGCTGTGTAAATCTGCTATTGCTATAAAAGATAATAAAGCAGTGAGAGCCATTGGGTCAGTCAAATTTCATATCTTCTACATTATGCAAGAATTTGAATGCAGAAACACTGCAAAATTCTCAAAAAGAAAAGGAGTACTTGTGGCACCTTAGAGACTAACCAGTTTATTTGAGCATAAGCTTTCGTGAGCTACAGCTCACAGCTCATGAAAGCTTATGCTCAAATAAATTGGTTAGTCTCTAAGGTGCCACAAGTACTCCTTTTCTTTTTTGCGAATACAGACTAACACGGCTGTTACTCTGAAAACTGCAAAATTCTGTGTCAGATTAATAATAGATTCTGAAGAAGAACTGCAAGTACTTGGTAAATGCAATTTGAAATGCAGATTCCTCTGTACGTACGGAGGAGAGACATTAGAATTTCAAGTTGTGAAGCTTAAACTCTTGAGCTGTCCTGGGTCTTGCAGCAGTAATTTGTTTAAATCTGGTGCAGAAGGTGAATACTGAAAGGTAGAGGAGGCATCTGACATAGTCCTGACCCTCCTGAGTTCATGGATTCTTTGAAGGCCCAGGTAGTTAAACAGGAAAATATTAATGTTGAACAGACTTTAAAGGGTTCAGCTGAGTTGAGATAAGTGTTTGAAAGTGTGGATACTTTTCTGAAGCTTAGAATAATTATAACAATAATATGTTTTACTTGTGTAATTAGTTAGTATTTGTTCAGCATAGTCCAGATGGAAATTTCTATGTGGGTACTGAGAATTCTGTATTTTAGCATCTATGGTGCTTTTCACCCAAGCCTCTCAACGTGTTGTTTATGCATCATCTAAACCCCCACCGAACCCTTGTGAGATTGGGAAGGATTATTAATTATTTCCCCCCTTTCATAAATGGGGAAGCCGTGGTTAAGTACATTATCTAGGGTCACAAGGACAGTCTATGGCAGAACTAGGATTGTAAACCAAGTCTCTTAACTCCCAGAATATTAGATTGCACTGTTTCCTATCCCAATTATCCTGAGTCTCCTTCCACTATCATCCTAACATCCTCTTTCTCCTTATTGTGTATGTCTCGGACTGTCCTGGCTTCCTTCCGACATAATCTGCCCTGGCTCCTTCCATCTCTGCAACCAGCTCACTTACATATCTGGCCTTTCAGCCTCTCTGGGTGTGTTGAATTAAATTTTTGAACACATTAAATTTTTGAACAAAATGCACTGTGTGCCTGAGAGCTCTGAGACAATACCATGGAATAGTAAAGTTGTAACAAGAGTAATTAATGAGTAAAGAGTAGTTAATTGCCAGAAGCTGGGAATGGGTGACAGGGGATAGATCACTTGATGATCACCTGTTCTTTTCATTCCCTCTGGGGCATCTGGCATTGGCCACTGTCAGAAGACAGGATACTGGGCTAGATGGTCCTTTGATCTGACCCAGTACGGCCGTTCTTATGTTCTTAATGTACTTATTAATGGGAAAATACCACAGGGCCATGTTGTGATCAGTGGAATAGAACAAGAGTGTAATTCAGGGAGGAATTTGTTCCGCAAGATATATGGAAAAAATCTATGAGCCCACAGAGCCTGATCCAGAGCCTGTTGAAGTAAATGGGACTCTTTCCACTGATGTCTGTGGACTTTGGATCTGGCCCACACCTGACTAACTGTGACTGTAAATAAGCCCTGTAGGGCAGAGGTTCCCAACCCTTTTATTGCTGTGTCCCCCTCAGGCAATTCATGTCCCTTGAACCGCACCCCCCCCCAAGAACCAGTATTTTTGCATAGAACAAGAGGGTCTGCTCCACAGCATTGGGAGTCTGGCCACGAAGCTCTTTGTGGGTGTTTATTGGACAGCAACTCCCCTGGGTGGGGGTTTCAGTCCCCCGCACCACTCCGGGCACTCTGGGCCTGGGGACGCAGCTCCCTTCATTGCCACCTTTGGGCAGCAACAACCACTGCGTCCCTGGAAACCAACTGCTGGGCAGTCAAGGGCGGTGCTTTGGCCCTGTCAGGCTGCAGCTCCAGAGCCTCCACTGAGCAGGGCCAGCACTGCAGAGTTCAGCTGTGCCCTTCACCTAAGGTGCTGTGCAAGGGGTATCCCTGAGCATATCACTGGGACTGGAGAGGGTTGTGGGGGATGATCAGAGCAGGTTCATGCCTCAGGGGATGTCTGCACTGCAGCTGGGAGGTGTGATTCCCAGAGCAGGTAGACAGACTTGCGTTAGCTCAGCTTGAGCTAGCACACTAAACAGAGCAGTGTGAACGTTGTGACACAGGTGGTAGCGTGGGTCAACCACCTGAGCTCAGACCCGGGGGGTTAGTGGCTGATCTGAGCCATGCGGCAAAGTCCACCTTGCTATTTTTAGCACGCTAGCTCAAGCAGAGCTAGTGCGAGTCTGTCTACTCGCTCTGGGAATCACATCTCCTAGCTGCAATGTAGACCATACCCTAGAGGCAAACTAAGTATTAGAGACACGAATGAAGGTCCTGAAAGACAGCAGCAGAAACTTGACTGGTAGGAGAAATAGTTAGCCAGTCAGTGCAGGAATGTCTGCACTATTGGACATTGCTAATGCATGGTGACAAACCTAAATGGGAAACATTCTGAGGTGCATCATTCAGGCAGAAGATGCTCATATTTAGGAGATTATTGTTGTGATTGTGTGCTCCACTTGCAACAATATAAGAGATTCAGAGACCATACATGACCATCTTTGGGGGACTTGGCTGGCAAGCACATATTAAGCAAGAGTGAAGAACATGGGGCAAAGAAAATTATGATTAAACTGAAAAAGAATAAATAGAATCAGAAACATTACCCAATAGTCATTGAAAACTGAACTTTTAACTGTAAGGATGTGGGGAAGAAAATATTATATATTGTTGTATTTGTGGACATATGCAAATCTTTGAGCAAAAAGGCCTGCAAACAAATCTCCAGCATTATAGTACATGAATGTAAAAAAGTAAATGACTGATGGGTGGAAGTTGGCTCAATTGAATTAGGAGTTGACCTACTAGAAAATGAGGCACCAGCAATAAAATAAACAATGTAGCATAATTACAGTTGTGACCTTCCGTAATTAACAAAATTACTGCTTAAGATCTTAGTTGATTTATTGTACATTTTGAGCTATTGTTTTTCTCCTTCCCCAGAAACAACAACATTCGTAGATTTAGAGAGAACTAGAGATGGAAAAGATAGTTTAGATCCTCTAGTCCATAGATCTGACTGGCATGCAGCCTTGTCCAGTACTTTGTCCAGTTGTGCTGTGAATATACTCATGTAGTGAAGGATTGTTTCTTGTGTCACTCTCACTGTGAGACTGTTCTGCAGCCTAATTGATCTTGCCCTTTATTAACATTTTTGCTTCTATTCAGCTTATATTTGTATTTGCTCAATTTCATCCCATTACTACTTTTTATACTTTCTTTTACCACTCAAACTCAGTATTATCCCTCCTTTAAATACCTCTGCATGATCACTTGGTTCCCCTTAATCATTGTTTTCCCAAGCTCTAGAACTGAGTAGGGTTAAACTCTGCTGTCCTTGTTCATGTAGAGAGAGAGTAGGTGTGGTAATATCTTCTATTCCAGTGGTTCTCAACCAGGGGTATGTGTACCCCTGGGGGTACACAAAGGTCTTGCAGGGGGTACATCAACTCATCTTGATATTTGCCTAGTTTTACAGCAGGCTACATAAAAAGCATACAAAGTCAGTACAAACTAAAATTTCATACAGACAATGACTTGTTTATACTGCTCTATATACTATACACTGAAATGTAAGTACAATATTTATATTCCTTTTGATTTATTTTATAATTATATTGTAAAAATGAGAAAGTCAGCAATTGTTCGGTAATAATGTGCTGTGACACTTTTTTGTATTTTTATGTCTGATGTTGTAAGCACATATTTTTTAAGTGAGGTGAAACTTGAGGTACGCAAGAGAAATCAGACTCCTGAAAAGGGATACACTAGTTTGGTGCAAACATGGATGATTTGCAGTTTTGCACCCAAACCATGCAAAACTCATTTAATTACTTGACTGTTTTGCCTGTAGTTCACTGTGAAATTATGGGTTCATTGGAACCTCAAACTCAGAGAAACTCCTGTGTGCCATTGTAACAGTGGAAGTAATTCATAGACTAAAAGAGACTGGGTTTCAGCAAACCTCCTACCACACATATGGGGGTCACATGGAATCTTGAGAAGGCTGTTAACAACTGCAGTAACAGGGAGGAAAATAGAAACAGCTACTGTAGCTAATAGCTAACTGAGATCATACTTGTAGCCAATAAATGACTCACCGATACATGAAGAGGATACTTTCACACATCTATTGAGCTCCTGTTTTCTTGTCTCAGATCAGAAGTTTAAACAATTTTCAGAAATCTGCCATTAATGATATGGCTGATAAAAAGTCATTTAAAAATCACTCTTAAGGGGTTGTCGGAAGTAAAATTCAAGAGACTG